CCCCCCAACTTACTTTGAATATACCCACTAAGGGTGGGGTTTTATTTGTTTTTTAACAAGCTACAAGGTGTAGCAGCAAATAATTTCACCTGCACACTATATTGAACAAGTGAGAGGGGTAAATGCCATTAAAAAAAACACAGACAGCCACAGAAAGAACAGAAGAATCACCTGCTGAGGAGCACAAGGCACACAGGCAAGTGCACAGGTAGAGCAGCTGTAGACTTCCCAGCTCCCTCGCAGGTTTTCCCAGGCAGTATCGTGACAGAAATTGAGCGCTGATGCTGAACTTGTCTTCCAACCTCTTCTCCATGGCCTTTGTGGGCAGCAGCAGGATTCTAGAAACAGATTAAGACGAGAGATACAAAACATCCACTGGCAACCGATACATTCTTGCACTGATCGCACTGACACTGGGAAGAGCACAGTGCATTTACAGAGAAAAGGGAGTGTCTTATCTGCTGTGAATTTGTCCAGCTGCTGCTAAGTAACTACCAGTGTATGACACTAAAATACAATCAGGAGAAGCTTCTGGTGTTGGATGGCAGCAGGGCACCGTGACGGCCCTTCTCTCACCCTGGCAGTTTCCTCCTGCACACCCCAGTAGCAGAAGATCCCTCACACAGCCTGGCGGATTCCAAAGTCGGGAAATCTCAAACACACCAGAGGGAACAGACCACGAGCATAACGGCAGCACTGATGCAGGCAGAGCATCTGCCCGGCGATGTCACCGCGGGCACGTCGGTGCTGGCTGGTGCCAGCCAGAAGCAACGAGAAACAAGAAGGGACAAGGCTGAGAGAGAGCCGAAGGCGGTCTTTGCTCTGCAGTTCGCTCCGCGGGGCAGAGGGCACGAAAGCGTTTGGGCTCCTTCTCCGGACAGAGCCAAAAGCTCTTTTACAGCGCCATGTTCTCCAAACCCTAAACCAGCTCTTGATGACAAGAACAATTATTCCACAGCTAATAAATACCATCGGTTTTAAAGAGTAACGAAGCACCGCTAGGCAGAAGGAGTTCCACCTGCCATCTCTGAAGAACCCGGAGGGAACATCGCCACAAAGAGTCCTCAGGGCTGCAAAGGACCGTAAGATCCTCAAGTCCAACCCACAGCACCCTAACCCCAAACCAGCTCCTCGGGTGCCGCATCCAGCCGGTTTTTAACGGCGTCCAGGGACGGTGACTCCAACACCTCCCTC